CGCTCAAAGGGAAGGGGTCTGGGGTTTAGGGTTGAGGGGTTAGGGGTTGAGTCTGGTACACCGTGGCGGTGTGTATTGACAGTAAAAACAGTGATTTTTCTCACAAATTAGCTGGTACTATCTTCACAACAGGCACACACCACCACGACGTACCGGACCACAACTAAGCAGAATTAAATAGCATGCTACAAGCTGACTGACGCGTACTATTCTGTATTCTGTAGTAGGGGTTAGGGTTCAGGGGCTTAGGGTTCAGAGGTTTAGCGGTTTAGGGTGCTTGTGAACAGTGGACTGTGCTCTCTCGTGTCTTCTGGGTCTCGGGTTTAGGATTCAAGGCAAGTTTTGTAAAGCGCCCTGGCAAAAATAAAATTTTAGCTGTCTCTTAGGGATTATAATAACCAAAAATGAAAAACTATTTCTAAGTACCCCTAAGATATGGGCTACAGGGTGACAGGGCTGTAGGGTTAGAGCAGGAAGCTATCAAATAGTGAGCACGCATCGCTGCCGGCAAACCTGCCGCTCTAGCCTCTGAGCATTTAGCAGGAAGGACAAGCAACTTCGATCACGGCATCATACTCTCCGTATGCCCTAAGCCCAAAGTCTGACACCCTATAGAAAATAGCCCAATAACCCGAAACCCAGCAAAAAACTCAAAGCCCTACAACCCGAAGCCCAACCACTGCCATGAACCCTGAGCCGGGTTTAGGATGCATTCGCCGAGGAGTCTGCTGATGCCATCTCCACAAGTGATGTCCTGCAACCCGGTTTAGGGTTCAGAGTTTCGGTTCCACAAGCCTTTTGCTCATCTCTAGTCTATAGAGAACCGTTTAGGCTTAAGGACTGTGTAGTATCAAAAAAAATTGCGGGTTGGGCTCTGTTGTTGTAATCACTGTGCTGCTCACACCTCAACCAGCAAAATAGGGATAATCAGCCTTCCCGTGTCACATCAGCTAAACCCTATAAGCCCGTACAGAATCCTTAACTCTAAAACCAAAAACCTAAACCAACAACTGCCCCTGCAAATTTAAAACCCTCAGGCTATAAACCCGCAAACCCCGAACCCTAACGCTCTCCCTATACCCCTAAACCTTAGACCTGACACCCTAAACTCTTAACCTGGGTTCTTGTCAAGGAATTTCCTTTAAGTTGACATAATATCAATAGGGATCTATAACTGTAGTAAACAAGCATCAGTTTAATATCGTCTCCATAATACGGTAACTTAAATTTTAAACTAAACCCCTTAACAAGAGCCCAGTATATAAACCCTTAACCACAACGTCCGGCTCTCCCAAACCCTAAACCTTAAACCCGAAGCCCTCAACCCCAAATCCTTTCAACCCTAATCCCTTCATACTAGGCTCTTAAAAGCCCCAAAGTTTGGCTCTCCTTGATGCACGAACCCTTATACATCCTATAAATCCCTCAAAAGAGCCCGTATACTAAGCTGTTAAACCCCCCCAAAATCCGGCTCTCCTTGATGAGGGTCTGCTCCGGCTCCCGACGCGTCACCCGCCAAAGCTGGTAGAGAGGACGTCTCTGATGGGCGGTGCGGTTCACCTCAGGACCATACAAAGGCCCTTTAGGGTTTAGGGTTCTATAAAGGTTCTTTAAAGGGATCTCATCTAGGGCCTCTAGTTTAGGGTTTAGGGTTTAGGGCTCTATAAATAAGTTCTTGAAAGGGATCTATAAGGGGTTCAAGGTTCTGTCAGGCCATGTTGGGATCGTTTAGGGTTTAGGGTTTAGAGTTCTAGAAAGGTTCTTCGAAGAGATCTATAGTATGGGGTTTAAGGCTCACCTCATCTAGGACCTATAATAAACGGTGCAGGGTTTAGGGCCCAGGGTTGTTATAGGGGCCCTATTGAGTAGAATAGGGCTATATTGTCCCAGCCGTTAGAAAGAAACTAGAAGGGGATGCGAGGTGCGGTTCACCTCTGGGGACATACAAAGGCCGCTTAGGGTTTAGGTTGCTATAAAGGTTCTCAAGGGTCTAAAAATTAGGGCGTTCGGGTTCATCTGGTCTCGGGCCCTGTTGGGGCCGTAATGATGACAATAAGGTTTGGGGGTATATTAAACCCTAAACCCCAAACCATCAAGCCCTTAAACCCTTAAACCCTAAACCCTAAAGCCTAAACCTTAAACCCTAAACCCTTAAACCCTAAACCCTAAACCGAAGAAACTATAAGGGGGTGCGGGTCGCCTTTTGGGGTTTAGGATTTTTCAGCTCTACACGTGTCAAGTGTGGGGTTCAGGGTTTCGTCAGAGTTTAAGGCTTCTGTTTGAAGGTCTGCAACTTTAGGGCTTATCCTAAGCCCTAAACCCTAGAGGGTTCAGGCTCTTTTAGGCTGAAGCCTGAGGGTCTAGAGGATCTAGGCTCTAGAATTCCCGGAAGATCAACTCCGGGCTTAAACGTGCATAGACGTGCATAGTAAGGGACACCTCACTCATCTGCACCCCCTTGGCTACCACTTCGACCGTCATCCAAAAATCCTGGCTACCAGCTCACCGGCTGTAGTCATGCCGCTGTTGCTGTTATACGGATGCTAAGTGGGGTAGGGGGTAACGGGGGGTAGGGTGCCTTAATACCCTTAATAGGGACTAAATGTCCCCTACCCCCCTCCCCCCTACTCCCCCAAGGGTCCCTATGATGCTGCTTTGTTTCCTGCCATGTTTCGAGGGAGCTCCATCACCTCATGAAATACGGTTGATGGTATAAATCCTGCATTACCTTAATGGCTCTAGACTATGGGAATTATGGCTTATTCCTTATTATGGGTGATGCAGGGCTTATATCATCAACCGTATTCGTCAGTACTTTGCAGGAGTTTCTGTCATAAAGCCGGCCACCACCAAAAGCCCGAAGCACCGCCGCTGCTTAAGATTTTTACCGGGAGCCTTGCAACTGACGGCGCGGTTCTGCATGGCCCATGCCGAACTAAACCTGGCTCACGTAAACCCTAACCGCCCTAACCTAATGCCGAACACCCAGGCCCTAATTTTTGACCGACATAGTGCAGAGTCCTGACAGCTGTGATTCAGCATAAACCTTCTTAAGTCTAAGACCTCAACCCAAGCAGAGTCATGACGAGCAATGCAGCTGACTGGCAGATGGGATGAGGTCAGTGAAGATCTTCTTCGCTTGCACGCTGGTGAGCTGAAGAGCCAAGTCGAACCTGCGATCGACCCATCGAAAAGATGTAATATACATATATATATATATACACATATATATATATATATATATATAGGGTTCCTTGACGGGATCTATGTGGGTTTCGATAGGGTTTCTACAAGAGTGCGACATGGGTAGTTTTCTAAATTAGGGTCCCTTATAAAAAACGACTCAAAAATTAGGTAACGACGTCTGGTACGTGACCGGCGTTTGGCGCCACACAGAAACTAGGTATGCTGCAAGACCCAGAAAAAACGCATATTCCTGATTGAGAAGTGCTGCATAGTAAAAGCCGAAAGTGTGTAACAGTGTCCGCTTACAGGAGATAATGATGCTATTGATATTGCTACAGTGAAACGCACGTTTTGGTTCTCGGTGTTTGCGAAACTTCAGTCAGCTGTTGGCAGCTGAGCACAGCTTTGCCAGTGCTTTGTACGCATGCGTCGGAATTGAAACTGCCGTATATACTTCCACATGCGCTCGGCATTCGCTCTGGAAAACCCAGCGACATCCGAAAACCCTAAACCCTAAATGACCCGGGAGCACCAAGAGACGCAACCTCCAAGAAGTCAAGTTGACAGAAGCGGCCGGCAAGAGAGAGAGAACAAGGGTTCTAACGATCCCGCCTGTGGAGTTGACCATGTGAGTCAATGGTTTTGAGTTTAAGGGATTACTATCATCTTTCACTGGGGTTCCGCATTATCAAAAACTCACACAGCCCCTGTATTAAACGGATGGACGAACAGCCCCATGCAAGTAGCATTAACCACCATGCCCGTGAAAGCAGCATCCAGCAGCATCATCCAGCACCACCATCCCCACGCAAACATCATGCAGCAGCATGCATCCATGACAGCGCCAACATGATGACTGACTAGCAAAGTATATCCTGAAACAATGCTGAAACAAAGAACGTTAAGAACGAACCTTAAGCAATTAACGTTGTTTTTACCATGCGCATCATCATCACTCCGAAGCGGGATGCACGGGACACACCGGGCGTCGTCACCCAAAAAGACCCCACTTTAGAGACCTACCCATTCATACTACGACGGCGAGTATCACGACCTGACCACTACCACCACCAAAACCGCTATCTGATGTCTAGCATATCTGTGGAACCAACGTCGATCCAAAACGAAATAAACCTAAACTCAAACATACTTGAACCGTACACTTAGCCCCGGGCTCCGAACCCCCAACCCCAAGTCCTAAACCCTAATGGTTTGTACGAGCTGCGCTTATGAAGTCTTAGGAGGCTTTTCAGTGGGTTGCGGGAGGGCTTCCTAAGGTGTGTAGAGGTTGTACAGGCCTCTATCGGGTGTGTAGGGGTTACACAGGGTGAAATAAGCAACCTGGCAGTGCTGAAGATTGGCCGGATCGCTAGCAGCTGTCGCGTGTCGGGTAAAACTACTTACAGTTTGATGACCGTCATAAGGTACCCGAATAGCAAACGGAATAAACTTGATGATATTGTGGCAATGCTGAAGACTGGCCGGATCGCCTAGTGACTGTCGCGTGTCTTGTAGAGCTACTTACACTCTGAAGCAGGAGGAGGATGCTATACTGCTATACCTCCCTTTGAACCAGAGGAGGGAAAAGGATGAAGTAGCTGAGACTGCATATCCAATGCCAGCCAAGGCTCATCTTGCTCCAATGTGCCTGGACAAAGATAGGATCGGCAGGTAGTGGAGAGTATGATGGCAATAGCTTTCGCTCTGTGCTGATGTATGTCCGTTTAGACTCATTTTTCTCTTTACAGGCCGCAGCAAATCCGGGCCAACATGTTGGTAACTGGCGTTGCCTGTGGCACTGTTCTGCCACACTTTCATCTCAACCGACCCTCTGCCTTCGCTTTCGGGCCGGATGAGTTCTTGGCCGACTCCGCCTTCTGCTTTGCAGAAGGCTTTCCAAGAGAGGTTGGTACAAGACCTGAAAATGCCGCATCGGAGCCATCAGATCCGATGCCCTCAGCAGCAGGCTCGGCCTTCGACGAACCCGCCGGCAAAATGTCGACCTCCCAGGGTGCCGGTGGCATGGCATTCCCTGTGTCGGCACGACGAATATAATCATGCTTCGGCCGCGGGCCCAGTAAAGCCTCTGCACCCCAAGGCGCGGAAGCTGGCCTCTCACAAGAAGGAAGAGGAGGTGTCGCATGGGCGGCTCCACCTGCTGTCACGGCACCGTCGGGCAACTCTGTCAAAACCATTGCAGTCATCGAGAGATCATCAGGCTTGTGTGGACAGTCGGCGGACTCACTGTGCAGACAGCGACAGATACAGCAGGCAGTGGTGTTGCACACATCAACGTCCTCCGTATTCGTCACGTCGTCTTCAAGGCTTGTTTTGCTTAGCGTGGGTTTTGGCCACATCATCTCACAAATCTGGCTGGGCGCCAACAAGTGCACCTCGTCATCATAGTACCCTGCATCCTGGGCAGCAGCAGCGTACCCGGGGTTGCGGCACATGTCCGCCCACTTCTTCTCCCCGAAGCTTCTCGTGGAAGCATGTATGGTGAGTTTGGCATCAGTTATCTGCACTTTCTCACTGGGGAAGATTCGGTCCAATGGGATAGCTGCGCCGGCTGCACCGATCTCTTCGTACTCCAGGAGATCGCTCTCCCCTCGGCGCACTTGATCTGCTGGATCTGCCATGGTCACTACATTCTCCATGCATCCGACGGACTCGCCTGTGAAGACTTGCCGCCAGCTGGTGGTGATCTTCTTGACGAATGGGCTTAAGAAACAGTCTCTGCATCCTCTCAGGCACACGTTGCAATGCACAAAGTGGGCGGGCTTTTCCCCGCCAGAAAACTGCAGCTGTTCAAGGTCAACTCTACGTGTACCTCGGTCGGCCTTCCACAACAGAAGCGGCGTACTCAGCTGGAAGGTTCCGAAACCTCCACTGTTGTCCGTGGTCCATTTGCCCGCGAATGAAATTTGCTTTGGCTTGAGCTGGCAGAACAAGACGATGGCGCCGGACCTTTCGCCAAACCATTCTATCGTCGTGTATATGAGCCGGTCTTCACATCGACCTCGTAGGTATCCCGCAGGCCCCGCGCGCACCCAAAGGGAGCCGTTCATGCGGACGGCACCGCCTCTTAGCAGTTCGCTGGACTCCGCATTCAAGACAAGCCATGCCGAACAGCTACCACTTTCATACCTTGACTGCTCTACACAATCCACAGGCATATCCCACGTTTTGGTGAAGCCTTGCAACTAAAATTTACGCAGCAAAGGGTAAACGTATTCAGAATCCACTCCGGTCACAACTTGGAACTCTCCACGTGACAGTAGTGCCCCAGCGGCCATTGCCGCCATTGGCCATCTAAGGTTGGTGGATCAGAAGAGTCAACGTCCTCACTGTTGTCATCTGCAAACTCCCTTAAACTGCGTGACATATAATAGCAAGTTCGAGTGCCACGAACCTGAAGCGTCCAGAAGGCCCAGATATCCTCCTCCTGGAAGCTGAAAGATACTGCCAACCTCGACCTCTGCACCTGGCTGGTGAGCGAGACCTCCCTGAAATCAAACCTCAGGGAAGGGTATAGAGGTTAGGGTTTGGGGCTTGGGGCGGGGGGGTTTAGGGTGTAGGTTTTGTGGGCTTAGGTCCTGCAAAGTCTTATCTGGTAGCTCAGCTTAGAAACGGCGCAACTCTCGAAAGGGAAACACGGGGGTCGCTCTACAATGATATCTGCCATGGCTTTGTAAAACGCTGCCTCATCTCAACATCCCCCCAAGCACCCAAAGATGGATAGCTCCTCCGAGAACATTCCACATCGTTCACCGTACATGCCGAGTGTAACTCGATTGGGCTTAAGTCAAGCAAGCAGCCAAAATATCGCATCTCTGGGATGACACTGGTAGCTCCCGCTTCAAAGATGACCGGCTCATATTCTGCTTTATGGGCCCTGGCAAGCTCTGCGGCGATGGCACCGATGCGCTTGAGGCGAAGCGCGTAGCCATCCAAGGGAGTTTTCAGCTGCAGCAAGAACTGCAGGCTAAACCAAACGATATCTGTCAACGTCGCGTCTTCGGGGGCTGAAAGCAGCGTCAGTGCAGTTGTGAGACATGACATGAAAATGACCACAACGTGCTGGTCCAGCATACAAGCGCTTTGTTCAAGTGAATCTTGCAAGTTCGCAGGTGACACTGCCAGCATGTTCCCCGGCCCAGGCAACAATGATTGATTCAGCATTGAGCGCCAAAGATAATTTGCTCCGTTGTTTAGATGGGCCCGGAAGGCCTGCCATGCTATGATAAGCGATGGAACTGCGTGCGCCGAGAGCAACAAGATTGCACGTTGAAGCCACGGCGCCGCACTGACTTGCCAAGCGCACCACTCCCCACGCTGAGCATCCCGCGTGAGGATCACTTTTCGAATCTGAGCATGGGTTATTGTCCAAACTGCAAACGCTTGAAACAAGGAATCCAGAATCGAAAACATGCCGCTCCAGTACCAGCAAAATGCAAGAGCGGCGCATGCTGCAGTGAGCAAGATGAAGACGTGGCGGTACATTTCGGATGTGCCAGCCCACCAACCATATCCGAGTTCACCGAGAAACATTACGTGCTCCCTCAGCTGGGCCACCTCAAGATCTGCTTGACTGACATGCTCCAACGCCTGGCCAGCAAAATCTTGCTCCGGCTGGTAGTGCACATACTGCTCACCAAAAGTCACAGGAGCGAGCATGATGACTATCAACAAGAAGGCCTTTCCAGTGAGAAATGCGACTGAGAGCCTTGACAGGGACGTCACATCGCGTTGACGAAGCAACGGCACGCTGCAACACAGGTGGATCTTCTCTCTGAGAGCTTGTACCCAATTGAAATAATAGAATGGAAGGACTGTGGACTGCATCATCATCAACAAAGCATCCAACCTCGGCATGATGTCTAGCATGCCAGGCCATCCCGATAAAGGCTTCTTTATGTGCAGAACTTTGGCATGATTGCCCGCAACTTTGGACACTACAGCGGCCCGGCGGAGGCTAGGGTGGGGGGACGGCTTTTCAGATGGCGCGACCACAAACTCTCTGCAGGGCTGCGACGAGCCATGCAGCTTCGTCCAGAAGTGCAGGCGCCAGTGCATCTGCCGCAGGAAGAAGCAGCCAACAAGGCTTGTAAGCACGAAGAGGAGAATCTCCACGGCAAAGGGGTCAACGTCCTCATGCAGGTATGTTAGCCCCCACAAGCTTGCGATAGACGCTGGTGCAAACATGGCACTCCCACGGCCCAGAAAGTGCTTCAGTCGAAGGCCTCAGTGCCTCCCAAGCTAGCGCAAGGCTCGCAGGCAGAGAGGTTGTATACAGAAGGAGCACGTAAAACTCTTGAGCTCTCCACTGGCCACTCATGCCATTCTCCACATTGATGCGACATGCTCCGCTGTCGTTCTTCACGCACTCCGCTAGCGAATTTGTGAGGTCGATCTTCATCACGTCGCCTTCCACACTGACCCTCCTGCTGACCCAGACGGCCAGGCGAAGGCAGCCGAAAGAGATCAATGTCGCAATAGCCTTTATCCACGCTGGTTGCGAGGAGAGCTGCCGCGAACAGGCCCCAGTAACCAGGACGAAGACGAGGCAGCCCAATGTGACAAGCAAATTTGCCAAGAGCTGTCGAGACTGAAACAGGGACAGGAAGACAAAACCAAGTAGGACCGGCACTGCCCAGCATGCAAGTCTCCACACCAAGCGACAAAGCACCGCCGAAGAAGCATCATCCGTCACATGCAACTGACACGAAAGTATTGGGCTCTGGACAGGTATGTGTTCAGCGCGCCACCAAACCAAGCAGTGAATGTAGAACAGGCTGGCTGCGGCAAAGCCACCCACTTCGATGCTGAATCGGCGCAGCTGAAGGTCCTGGCAAAAGTAATGGTGACATGCATCGATCCAGCTCGTAGAAACACACGCTATCACCGAAGCGACAAGCATCGGCAATACCCAAGCCAATGCCCAGCGATACGCTACCCGGAAGCAGCTGGCTTCCGAATGCCAGCTCTTAGCTCGAAGCGAAAAAACTTTTCCTGACACTTGGTTCAGGAATGGCCCGTAGACCATGAGTAAGCCGCCCAGCGGCGCACTGACGGCACAGAGCTGCCGTGTAGCAACAGCAACAAAAACAGGGAGATTGCGCCATTGAGGCCCTTCAGCGTTCCAAGAATTCAAAGCCCAGAGCACGGCAAACCAAACGAACAAAGTGAGAATAACGTAGAAGAGCACTCGCAAGCCAAAAAAAAGGACAAATCGTCCCATCTCCTTGTCCCATGAGGGCTTCGTCAAGTATGTGAATGCACTGCGCCTGCGACTTGTGCCATCAGCCACCTCGATCCCGACAAGAAGAGAGGTTGCCCATCGGTTCAGGGGCACATTTGACATGCCATCAACGGAAGACCTGGGTTGGTCAAGGATGTCAGGCCTGCGCAAGCGAACGATAGTTCAAGACGTCACTGCCGATGGTGTTCCTGGTGTAATGGGCTGACTTCTATAGCACAGTGTTCTAGAAGGGCGCAGGTCGGACATTCTCTGCTGTAAACGGCTGCTTGGGCAAGGCGTCTCGGTACAGAACAAGCGTATAGGGTTTTGGCACAGGAATATGTGAGTTTTTTATTAATCCCAATGTCAACGAACAGTGTCCAACACTTGCGTCCCATCGATGGTTCCTTCACAGCCGTTGTCTGGGCTTGAAGCAGCAACCTCAAGACTCCGAACATGTATTGAGTACGTAGGATCTAAGGCACAAAGCAGCTTACAGCTTGCAATGCTTCAACCACAGAACGAACTGACCCCGCCTCCCCCCAGAGCACGCCAGGAGTGACGCAGTATCGGGCGTCGTTATTCCAACTCAGAGTTCCGTTGTCAATCTTCGGCAGGACAGCGCCCAGAACATTGGTGACCTCACTATGAGATCCTTACAGGGGAATAATAATGTCGTAATGGGAGCCTTACTGGGGAAGGATTTTTACCTCGATTTTTGTGGTTTATGGCCTCCAACAACCTTACCTCATCCTTCGTCTGCTTGGACAAGGAGTGGGCAGTTGCCGACATGCATTAAGTTGGGGGCTGCGTGCCCTCTCCCGAAAAAGATTAACCTTGTCAATTATGGCAGGATTATATGAACCGCACGGTTAATGCCTACTCAGCTAAGAAGTTACAAGGACACTGGAAAGGCTCGGTTTCGAGCTCTCTTCTGACAGATCCAGCGTGGCAAAATTCCACAAGCAGAGTGCAACCTTATGTACAAGGACTAGAGGTCCCCTCGTGACGTCTGTCGGTTTGCAATACAAATCCTAAACCCTAAAGAACCCCTGTAGAATAGATCCTTTCTAGCTCCGGCCCCTATTAATTAAATCCTGTTTAAGGAGCCCTAAACCCTAAACCCTAAATCCTTTTACGGGAACCCTAAACAACCCTGAACCTTAAATCCTTGTAAGGAGCCCTAAACCCGAAACCCGAATCCTTTTAGGGGACTCCTAACCAACCCTGAACCTAAAACCCTAAAAGTCCCAAAGCCCTTCCTAAAGTCCCTAAACCCTAATTTCCCTAAACCTTAAAGTCCCTAAACCCTGAAGCCCCTAAACCCTAAAGTCCCTAAACCCTAAACCACCTTCAAAGGAGCCCTAAACCACCCGAGAGCAAAGCACAAGGCCCGGGCCGAGTCGAACTCGACTGTCCAGTTCCGTGGCTCTTGACCTTTTCCAACTTTTGGGCTTCTACTCTAGAGGTTTATGGCTTTGGGGCTTAGGGATTAGGGTTTAGGTGTTTCGGGTTTCCGGATTTTACGGTTAAGGGGATAGAGGTTTACAATTTAGGCTCATATGTCATTTATCCGGTTTGGGGCTCCTGTAAAGCTTCTCTAAAGGGTTCTACTGCCGTTCAGGGTTTAGAGGTTTGTTGCATTTACGGGTTTAGGGCTCAGGGAACTAGCAGTTTAGGGTTTAGGGTGCGGCCTTAATCGCATGGCTTTTAGGGTTTGGCGGACAGGGTGCAGGTGCCAATCAGACGATGTCAGAGAGATGTGCTCTCGGCTTTGTTCCTTTCATCCTGTGGCCTGATGGCTGATGATGCCCATAGAGCCATAGAGTATTCATGCGCATGTTATGTCTTTGCGTCGGCTAGCATGCTTATTTCTCTGCTTCGCCCATGAGCTCTAAAAACAGTCCATATATCGCAACCCTTAAACCAAGACCATAAACTCTAAACCGTCAAGAACCCCAAACCCTCAAAAGCACTAAAACCCGTAAAAACCACCCAAACCCTCATAGATCCCTGAAGGTACCCTTAAAGGATCCCTTGATCCCTTATAGGAACCCTTTTAGGAACCCCAAACCCCTAAAACCCGAACCCCCCCTAAAACCCCTATAGCCCCAACCCTAAACCCTAAACCCTCATAGATCCCTAAAGGTGCCCTCAAAGGACCCCTTATAGGAACCCTTTTCGGAACCCCAAAACCCCCTCATAGATCCCTACAGTAGAGGCCAGGAAGTTGGAATATCATTATCGTAACCCCTTTATGGTAAATTATAGGGGATCCTACCCTGAAGCCGTATTCCAACTTTCTGGAGTTCCCTTTAAACCCCTAAAAGAGCCCCGAGGCTTCAGAAACACTTTAAACTCTATAGAGCCCTCAAGGGACCTCAAAGATCCCCTAACAGTACCCTTATAGTACCCTTATAGTACCCCTATAGTACCCTTATAGTAACTATACTTACCCCTGAAGTTCCCTTTAAAGGTGCCCTCAATCATCTCTGAAGGTCTGGGCCTGGGATCTCCTGGCGGAAGACCATGGCCGTGTGATAGAGATCGAACAGGCCCAGCTTCCTGGAAAGAAGTCATATGTATATATATATATATATATATATATATGTATATGTATATGTATATGTATATGTATATGTATATGTATATGTATGTTATATATGATTACATATGCATAGTTATAATATATATATATATATATATATACACACACACACACACACACACTTTATTATGACTCTATATATATATATATATATATATATATATGGGGAATTGCGGGGTTCAGAGTTTAGGGTTGCAGTGTTCTTTTTGGTTTAGGGTTCAGGGGTTCTGGGATTTAGAGCATGCGGTTGGGAATCATTTTGGGGGCTCGCGCTCCGGTCAAACATCCTCCACCCTTGAGCTCTAAAGCTCAAGCCCTGCAGCACAGTGGATTTTGGCAGTGGGTGCTTCCTTACGGCACAGGGAAGCCAGAGACTCCAAAACCCCAGAAATTAAGGAATATACCTTAAATCCCACTAGGAATCCCACTATAACTTACGGCATGTTCCTTAATTAAGGGGTGTTGGAGTGTCTGGGAAGCCCCTCCATGGTACGCAGGGCTGCGAAGTTCCGAACCTTCCGGAGATTCTCGGCTCCGTGTGCCCTGAGGCACTAAACCCGGAACTCCAAACCCGGAACCCCTAAACCCTAAAGTCGTATACACCCTAAACCCGGACCCTAAAAAACCCTACCTGACCAAACGTATGTAGAATACTGGCCGTTTTAAGGGTTTTGGGCTATTCTTTTACCTACTCTTGGGGGTTTAGGTAAACCCTGGTGGCAGCCGAGCTTCTTGCCAATGTGTGGATTAGTGGAAAATAGCGGCGACTGGACCACGTAGGCGTTAACCTGGGCTGATTGAAATTGGTTTCTGTCTGAAGGCGGTTAATATAATGGCCTTAATAATTAATACTTAGCACAGGGTATTGGGGCCCGTTATACTACTACAATTATAACAAGGAACCCGGCAAATAGTAGTGGTAATTATTAAGGCCCTACGTTCATGTCAGATCACCCCTAAACCCAAATCTAATCAACCAGCTCCCTGAGACTGATGTGATGATGTGACTTGCCGCGCTGTGTGACTCGATGCCCTCGGTGATACTGCTGAACGCCCATCGCGGCGCATGCTGATGACGGTAGTTCTTCTTTCTGGCAGTTCTTCATACTATGTCACAATGTGCTTATGCCTACCACCACTACCACAACGACGAGCATGACTATTGCTGCTGCCGCTAGTTTCCACTATATACTGTCGTTCTTATAACAGCTAGCGGGTTAGTGCATGACATTGGCACAGGAGTCATAAGGACGCAAATCTGAACTATCTTGCAGCCGCTCTCAGATCTGGTAAAAAATCTCTACTCCCTGACTTAAAACCCTAAGCCTTCAATCGTAAACCCTACACCCAGCAAAT